GGGGGGGGGCATCACCTCGTAGGGCTGCAGCGCGCCCGATCCGGGCAGCTTCATCTTGAGCACGCCACCCTCTTGGACCACCTTGAAGGGCCAGTCCGTCGACACCTTCAAGGGACTGACGTCCTTCTGACCCAGCAGCAGCTTGGCGTCTACAGAAAGGTCAGAAAAAACCCGTCGTGAGCCGGTTGGTGTCAAAATTTCAAACGTTTCGGATGAATCACACGTTTCATTTTTAGCGAACGTGCAACGACGGCGCAGCTCACCGAACATTTGGCTGTCGGCGGGCAGGTCCTTGGCGGCCTCGCCCACGAAGCTCTCCCCGTCCAGGAAGCCGACGACGCTCGGCGTGGTGCGAGAGCCGCTGTCGTTGGCGATCACGTCCACCTTGCCCTTCCTGCACACGGCCACCACGGAGTTCGTCGCGCCCAGGTCGATGCCGACGCACACGACCGCCATGGTAGCACTTTTCAACCGCGGCTCCAACAAATCACTGAAAACCTTCGGAAACAAACGAGCAAAAGTTTCGTTGAAGAGAAACAAAACGATTCAAAATGAATACTCGGTCGGTGCGCTTGAGCGGGGCGAGACGTGACAGACTTCCTAACCTCTCCTCCCACTCGCCGCGCCGCGCCGGCACAGGACTCGCAGTCGAGCGTCAGCAGCACTCGAGGCACAACAGAAACAGACAGACGACGCGAGCGACGCCCGTGCCGCGGCCGTACGCCGAACCGGCCGGCCAGTCACAGTCGTTGTCTGCTCTCGTCGAGCGTCGGACGGAAGCGTGTGCCGAGAGTGGACGGACGCGGATGCAGAAAAAACAGCGACGACAGAGGGATGCGATGGGAGGGAGAGTTATTGTAAATAAGCGTGGTGCAGGAAGAGGAAGAGCGAAACAGAGTGAGCAGCATGGATCGGCCCCGCGGGCCCCGCGAGCGCCCTCAGCGCCCGCCGCGGCCCCCGCGCCCGCCCAGCTGACCGAGCCAAGTGAGCCGGCCGAGCCCGATAAGAAAGCGGACACTTGCAGCGTTCCGGAGCCGGATTCAGGTAAACTTACCAAGTGCACGAACGGAAAGTAGAGAAACCAGACCGCGACCGCCCTGCTTTGGATTTCGGAGGATTGCAATCCAAGCGGCGACGCGTCGCTCGCGGGCGCTGCCCGGGGAGAAATAGGGGGGGGGGGGGGGTATCTGTCAGACTGTCAGTACGTAGCGGGGCTGTGAGCCGCGCTGCGGCCGCCACGCCGCCGGCCGGCAGCTGACAGTGCGGACTTGGCGGCGAAGCGGGCGGACGTGTTGTCGCGAGCCCGGGAAATAGCGTTCCACTCGTGTCTCGTCTCGTACTCGCGGCCGCGACTACTGCGACTGCGATGGGGGTCTGGAGAGGCGAACGGGGTGAGTTCGGCGCCGTCTCTGTTCAGCTGCTCCTCACCCCCCCCCCCTCTCCTCCCCCTACTTATACCACCCTGGTGGTGACCCTTCATTAATGAAACTCTAACGTTCGACACGGAAATGGGGAATCCCCGGAAGGGGCTGAAACAAAAATCGCCTTTGTGTGTTCGGGGTTGGAAGTGGGCTGGTGACGATTACTGACTTACCGTCTTCTCCTCCTTTGCAGCCACCATGTCGTCCCGCGTGCTCGGCATCGACTTCGGCACGACCAACACCGTGGTGGCCGTGGTGATGGAGGACGGCGGCGTCGAGGTGCTCGCCAACGACATCGGGAACCGGACGACACCCAGCGTGGTGCACATCGACCCGACCGACCCGTCGAAGCACCAGGTCGGGGAGGCGGCGCTGAGGCTCGGGGTCGGCGAACCGCTGAACACCATCCGCAGTGAGTAGTACTGCTACGACGTGGAGGTGGAGGGAACTCGGGGCCATGTAGGGTCGGCGTCAGCTGCGACATCTTGGCCTCTTCCACTCTGAAGTGCAACCCGCAACCCGTCTGTGAGATGGCAAACTCTCCCCACAAGCAGAGTTTTGTGCCAAAATGTGCTAAAAGCTGTTCCCTTTGCCCATGCTACACACACGCGCTCGCCCACTCTCGTATTGCAGATGTAAAGCGGATCCTGGGCTACCCCCCGGAGGCAGCGCGTTGTATCACTGCACTCGGCCCCGTGAAGGTCATCACCTCAGAACACGGGGAAGCCGTGTCACTTAAACTGAGTGGTGATACCAAGACCACTCCAGAGGAAGTAAGTGGCCATCAATTAGTTTCACTAAGATATTATGACAAAAAAGGAAAAAAAACTGCAGGATTTTTATTTTACTTTTGCCTTTACGTTTTGCTCACTTTTATTCAGGTTGTGGCAATGATCCTCCTGGAGTTGAAGAAAGCAGCGGAGCATCAGCTGCAGGAGACAGTGTCCAAGGCGGTGATCGCCGTGCCCAGCTACTTCACCGCGGCCCAGCGCCAAGCCGTCAGGGATGCGGGTGGGTCCCGGGTGGCGCGCCTCCAGGATACGTTAGTCGCTCTGCTGGTCGATGCTCACCCTTAGCCTGCTCCTCGACAGCTGCCCTGGTTGACCTGGAGGTGGTGGAGATCGTGAACGAGACGACGGCCGCCGCCCTGGCGTACGCCTACGACAAGGAGTTCTCCAAGACGGCCATGATCGTGGACGTGGGCGGCGGCGGCTGCTGCATCTCGGTGGTGCGGGTGGAGAACAACGACGTGTCCGTCCTGGCCTGCTCGACGCGGCAGCCGGGCGGGGAGAACTTTGACGCCAGGATGGTGGACTATTTAAAAAAGGTTGGATATCAATGTGTAATGTTTGGACCAATAATTTCCACGACCCTCTGGGGACGGATTCTTAAATGACGGCCGATCAGTAGCCTGCCTATCAAAAACTCAGCCGACCGAGTAAAAAAATCCATTGATGATTTTAGGTTGTTGCAGAACAGCACAAGAAGGAAGTGGCAGATACGCGCTCTGAGGAGATCCTTCGTTCTCTGTGGGTAGGGGCCAAGGTGAAACTGTCCCGTTTGCCCCAGACTAATATTCAGACATATTTGCCCGAGATTGAAACTGAGTTCCGCAAGCTGTTGACTCAAACTGAGTTCAATTCTGAATGCTCAGACTTGTTTCAACATATAACTACAGCTATAAATGGAACTCTTAAAAAGGCACAGGTTTGAGAAAAAAATTATGTTATTATATTTTGGTGTGATATTGGAAAGGTGCCAATAACTTTTTAGGGCATCAGTAAATAAATCTGAATCTTTTTGTGCAGGTGGAAGCCAATAAGCTGGATGATGTGATTTTGGTTGGTGGGTCAACTCGAATTGTGAAGCTGCGTGAACTCATCATAGGGGCTGTAGGCGGAGGGGTCAAGTTGCACAAGGCAGTGAATCCTGACGAGGTTGTAGCTCTGGGAGCAGCTTTACTTGGTGGTAAATGTGTGCAAATAAAGGTACTTCCCACCACTACTGTGCTTGATTATGGTATGGAGATGCATGTTACTTGTTCCAACAATTTTGTATTTCATGTATAAACAGAGGGAAGTGCTTGGACTTCACACTTATATGACAATTTTGGACTCAGACAAACAAGAAACAAATGAGCATTGGGCTCATAGTACCGCTCTCCCTGTCTCCTTTGCATTTAAATCACTTTCCATGACCAACTCCAAAGACCTAGAGGTAAGCACATGAATATTGAAAACCATTTCTTAAAATTTCATTTTTATGTACAAATTTGGTACATTTTCTTCTCCAATATATTACTTACAGATGAAACAAGGCCATGAGACTAAGACTCTTATGACTGTATGCCGATTACCAATTCCTCAGAAAGCTGAAAGTATCACAATAAACACTCAAGGTACTTTCAGTTTTCGTGATGCTGGGAAAAACAAATTATGCAGTTCCTATCTAAGAGGTTGCCTCCCTGAAGTAACTCTTGAATCTTTGAAAGTGAAGATGCAATCTCAAGTGAAAAGTTCTTTGGTGGAGGCAGGCAGAGTGGAGGCCAAAAATGCTTTGGAAGATGTCTTGCGCCAGGGAAAGTCGTGGGAGGTAAACTTGTCTAGTTAGAGCTCAAATTTCTAACTTTCTAACAGAATTTTTTTTAGAGCCTGTGGATCTTATGAATATTGACATAGAGATGTACATATTTTCAGACTTCGGAGGATGAGCCATTCCCAGAAAAGTATAGTGCATATCGTGAGATGTGCATAGAAAAGTTGGTCTGGCTGGACAATCATGCTGATTTTGAAAGAGAAGAATTTGATAAAATCCGTGTGGAATTAGAGGAAGTCATTTTGTCTTTGCAGGAGGAAAGTAAGAAAGAGAGGCATAGGGTGCAAGAGATAGAAGCATTAACAGAGCTTCTTAATAAAGCTATAAACATTGAGGTAAAACTAAAACTGTTCATTAATTCTGTTTTTGGTCATGATTTTATATTTGTTCAAGGCTCAATATGCTGAAGTGTCATATTAGATTTTCAGCCCTTCAAATTTTCTTATGTTGCTACAACATTTTATGTCCTGTGAGAGCTTGTCACCCCTCAGCAAGCAATAATTTTTATGTATTCCCTTTTTCCCTGTCCTATATGGTTTCTGTTATAGGTGGTAAATGATGAATTTGAGGAAAGGGCAACAGGCCTCAGGAAGTCTTGTCAAGAAGAGAAAGAATGGCTCTCAGAGAATTGTCATTTCAGTTCAGAGGAGTACACTACACGAAAAGATAAAGTTAATCAAGCAATCACCGCACTGAATGAGGATCGTCAAAAGGCAGCAATTCAGAAGCTAAGGAATCAATTGAGAGAGCACCTACAGCAGAGATTAAGAGGCATGATTAAATTTGCAACCGTAAGTTTCCTAACAAAGAAAAAGATGTCTTCACCAGGGCTCTGGAACTGATTATAACAAAAGAAAGTTAGTTGCCTAATGAGAATGTTCAAATGAAAAGTTGAATTTAATTATTTGAAAATATGCCCGGGATAATATACTGTCAAGTTGAACAAGCCAAATACCTAGCTTATTCCCCTACGGCTCCAATAGAAGTTACGTGTTGTAATGGTTAACTTTAAGGCACTGAAGTTATAAGTTGTGGGGATGCCCTTTACTAGTAAAGTAGAATATTTATTTTTATCCTGATTTACTATTGTTAATGCAGGAAAAGAAAAAAATAAAGGATCCTTTAGACTATCAGTGGGGAACAAAATTGGAAACAATCTGTAGGAGGACAACTATGTGGCTGAAGGATCACTCTGAAGCCTCTGAGGACGAGCTGAATCATCGTACTACTCAACTTGAACGAGATAATAATATTCTTGATGGAGAAATCCAGCAGCTTAAACAGAAAAGAGACTGTGAAAGGAAAGCTGCCTACAAAAATGCTGAACAAACAGTATTGCAAGGGGTGTACTTAAAGGTATTTAGTAATTAATTTAAAAATGACATTTATCATTTACATTTAATTTAATGTTGGTTTAAACTACACTTCCATAGGTTGCTGAGTTTGAAGCCGTATCAAGTGATGCTTTAAAGTTTGTTGAGATGTGTAAAGACTATTTGGAACGGCTCAAGAAAAATCCCCACATGAACGCTTCAGATTGTGCTAAATTATCCAGTGAAGTTGAAAAGGAGTTTTTGAACCTGAGAAGCTTGTGTATGGCAGAGAATAATCGCCGCCAGAGTAGGAAAAGTCTACAGTCTACTTTGGAAACTACCCTAAAGGTACGTATAAAACACGGCCCTAACATAGTGTAGCTTGACCGTCCCCTGAGCATCTCTTATTGATACACAGGATGGAGAGCCGCTGCGCACCTTCGCCCAAGGCTTCCTGACATGGCTGGAGCAGAACCCGACGGCTGCCAAGGAGCAGCTGGAGGAAGTCATGGCCTCTGTGCGGGACGCGCGCGGGAGCCTTCAGGAAGCCGACAAGCTTGCCGAGGCCGCAGTGACGCAGAGGGAACGGGCTACGCAGACCATGGAGCGCCAGTGGCAAAAGCTGGGGCTGCAGCCGAGTGCGGTCCCCGCCGCCCCCGCCCCC